GCATTATTTTTTCTCATTTTTCTTGTGAAACAGCAAAAGCTACCCCAGGTGTGCCCACTCCACCACAACAACTGCATGTACATCGCCCATCACCTGCTGACTCTAGGCCATCAGTATCGTCAATCCTTACCCCCGCCCCTCTGTGACGGCACGTCCACGTTTGTCGACCTAATTTCTGTCTTCAGGAAGCTGGCATCTGAATGTTTCTTGGCTCAAATGGTAAAAAAAATAGCAGCCTATTTTTTTCTCATTTGTACCCAGTCAACACATGTTGGGTTTCTACTGTACCTCCCAATATTTCAGTCGGACTAATCTTCAGCACTGAGTTTTTAGCAGCGGCTAGCAGCTCAACAAATCATCATGTCTCTCCGTTAGTCCGTTCGCTAGTTAGTTTGTTCGTTTGTTAGTTAGTACCAAACGTTGACATTGTCTGTTGCTCCTACATACTTGGACAGATTTTAACCCAACTTTGTCAAAAGTATCAGTAGCCCAGCCCCACCATGTCACATGACCAAACTGGGGTTAAAGGTCATCATGGGGTCAAGGTTAAGATATTGTCAAATTCCAAATAAGCTCAAATGACAAAAGTAGCGCTGTCAACATGTTGGTTGTGGGTCAAACATTAAAAAATGTCCCTGGTGTCCTCTTCATCTGACCTACAGCTATGGGGTAAAAGGTCAAAATAAGTTGCACATGCATTTGTTGGCCCGCAGCCTCCAAGATCCGATCGAGCTTGTTTAATTATTGATGTAGAACTTAGCCGATTGTTAACCCTAACACTGTACATCAGGTGTAATCCTCTGTGGGACCTTGCTGCACTGAGCCACCAACACCATTGCATAGACGGCCAATTCTAAAACAATCGAAGCTAGTCTCATTGACAAATGCCACAGTTGTATCCTGCTGCATTCAGTGACCACAGACTCGGAGGCAGTTTTGACTGGAGATTTTTGACCTGATAGATCTTGCTGAAAGAGCAGACATGTCATTTTGACAAGTGTTACACATTGCTGCATTTAGCAGGGTTTCTAGCCTGAATACCCTGGAGGGTTAGGGTTAAGGCCAGTGTATCTTTCTTGGATTTGCCAATCCTAAGTTTTGACATCACAGCAGGTATTCTTGCTGCAGATCGCAGGAGTTGCAGATCAAGTCATCTGCAGCGAATTTGGCTTTGAATGTTATGTGATGTCAAATGTGCACATTCAAGCAAAATAACCTTCCTCATTGTGTTATTGTTACTGCTTCTATGTTGCAGAGAATTCAGCGAGATCAATTAGTGGAGAGTCTGTCTGGTGCTGAGGGCTTTGACCAAGTAGCGACTGACGACAACTTCTTGGTGTGTAAGAGGGCCATTAAACAAGTACGTTCCGCAATAATTTTAAAGAAATCCTCCATTTTGCATTTCTGAAAATTACAGCCAAAGCAAATGTTGTATATTAAGCCTTTAACAGGTGCGATTTTGTCTGAAATCAGACCTTTTGAATCTGAGAGAAAGACATTACCGGTCTCGAAAGGAATGCATCTTTCAGAGGCAATCTCATCGCTGTCTTTATCCCAATGCTGGTTGTCCATCAGTTGGGTCACCTCCAGCGAGTTTGAACCGACATCCTCCCCAGTAACATCTTCACCAAGGCCATGTCTACACTCATCAACATGGTACTCATGCACATCGTGGAGAAAGTCTCGTCACTTGAGGTGAGAAGATCCCTAAAGTGTTTGACTGTTTCATGCACGTATGTCGTAAAGAACACACAACTGATTGAATTCTGTGCAAACCTCAGGCGTCTTGGCATGGGCGTCAGGCGCCGTTGGCAATGCATTAGATTGTCCCTCCCAGTGGTCTCCCTGAACTCTCCTTTTGAAAGTGTAGAGGTGGTACTTGTGCATGGAGTGCATAGGCTGCCAACAAATTCCTAACTCAGCATGTCTTAGGGACTATTGTTAAGCTGTGGCAGGAGCTTCTACATGTCACTTGGTGGTCAGTTGGTCGGTCTGTCTGTCTGTCCCCAAAAATTGACCAAAAATCTTTGACCAAAAATTGAAAAATTCCATGCCGTTGTCAGTATATGCACTCTAGACGAAAGTTATCAGAAAACGAGGTTTGTCTCGATCGATGCATATGCGCATCTATTTTGCATATGTCTGTCCTCGGAAAATTGAGCAAAAGCTAGCTCCCTAAGTTTCCAATATAATGTAACTACAACATTTTTCGCAAACAAAAACAGTGATATAGTTAACAAAAATTGTTTGTAACATTTTGTAAAGTTGTTTAATGAAGCTTTTGTAAATGGAGGCAAGATAATGCTTAATAATGTTAATAGTCACGTAGTGTGTAGCCCGCTATTTTGATGGGAAACTTAGGGGGCTTATTTTGGTCAATTTTCAGCTCGTGATTTTCACGTGAGATGGCTGCCCGGGCTTGTTTTTATGCACAATCATTTCATGCAAGGTGACCAGAGCTTATTGTGCACTCACACTTGTTTCGTCTGTGATATCCTTGTGGAATACTGCCACTAATTGGTTAGAACATTTTTGTTTGTTGCTCAACTTGACAGGACATCTCAGCTGATGATGCGCAGCAGTTACATTCGTTACTCTCGGGACTGCAAGACAGAATTCCACACTTGATCAAACCAGGAGAAGATGAGGTCAGAAAGCAATTCCTGAATCTAATTTGTTTGTTGTTGCAGGATTTGTTGATAAGATGTTAGGTGGCCCACGAAGTGATGTATATCATGTGTTGAATAATGCACAGCGTGTTGCTTTGTGCATACCAAACATAAACACAAATGTTGTTTTTTTTGTTTTTAACAAGCACATTCTGTTGAATGCAAACCACACATTACCGTTGAGAGGTGCATTATTTCACATTAAAAAAATGAATCACTGTGTTTTTTTTTAGGTGTGTAGCAGACTACTCCATAGCTTAGAAAAGTGTATGATCTCTGTATATATAGTTGCAGAGGATGGACACGACCGATAATGCATTGCTTGAACGATACGTGATTACCATTGCAAGCTTATGCTTCATTTGCTCATAAATTGCCCACAAATCCACTTTTCAAACAACTAGAAGTGCATGGGCGTCGCGAGGGGCGGGCAAGGGGGGCGCACTTGCCCCCCCCCCCCCCCCGGAAAAGCCAAAAAAACCCAAAAAAGAAGCCAAAACAAAAGGAAACAAAAAAAAGAAAAGAAAAAGAAAAGAAAAAGAGGCGCGAAGACAAAATGTGTAAATTTAATGAGTCCGGGGGGGGGGGGGGGGGGGGGGGCAAAATGTACCTGCCCCCCTCTAAAACTGATAAATCGAGAATGTGTTGAGAAATACAAGCATTTTTGGGCCCAAAAAAATTTTGCCCCCCTCTAGAAAAAATCCTGGCGACGCCCTTGTAGAAGTGTATTCCTTATTGTAAAGGAAGTTGACTGTTCGTATTTGGATTGATGCGTAGGAACCAGTTTTGGTGCAGAGTACCGTTGATCAGTGGACGTCATTCAGCGAGATGCTGTTTGTGTTAGACGCCAGCATGCAAGATATTGTTGAGAGGTGGGTGGAGGGCAAGGTGAGATACAACACAAATAAGATTCAAATTATAAGCTGGAAAATTCTTTCAGGTTGAATGAAGAAATTGACTGGAGTGGGGTTTGGACCAATGACCTCCGGATTGTCGTTCCAGTGCTCAATCAACTGAACTATCTAGCCCTATGCTGGCAGTTCCCCATTTGTAATAAAAAAAGTTGTATCTTGTCTGAGTGATCCCCGTTTGGTATTTGTAGGTTTGCAGCATTGCTAATGTTGCTAGCATCGTGACTTCGGGCGTGATCCCTGGCTACATGGTATATGTGGGTTTATGGCTTCTGACTAGCACCCCTTGAACATAGACATTGACAAACCACCAACATTGGGCTGGATAGCTCAGTTGGTAGAGCACCGGAACGGCAATCCGAAGGTCACAGGTTCAACCCCTGCTCCAGTCAATTTCTTTGCTCAACTTTAACATTAAAAACATTGTTTATGTTGGGAACTCCTCTTCTTGTCTAGTTGCTCTTTAAACATTTGAGACTGTGATTCTCTCCGTCATTCCAGGGACCACTCGCTATGGTGTTCAGCGCCAGTGGCGTGAAGAGCCTGATACGGGCCATCTTCCAGAACACCGACAGACGAGCCACAGCGCTCGCCAAAATCAGATAGGACCAATCGGGAAAGTAAGCTGAGTTCAAGGCATATAGAATCATTTGCCATCATTTCATGAACTGGACCAAATTTAAGGGCTAATAATTGATAGCTGACATCGTTCCACTGAGCTGTTCAATGTATTGTGTCTCCATGCTGAAAAACCACGAAAAAAAGCTGTTCTTTTTCAACCCTCAAAGTGCAGTTTGTAGAATCTGTCATGCATAGAACCCATAGGTCACAGGGTGTGCCTGAGTGCCAGCTCTGTCAGGGGAAAGTAATGCACAGATATATGTAGTGTACCCGAGCATATGCATGAAGTCAACAGCCAACTCACAGCTGTTTATTAGATGTAGTATTTTAGATAACTGTCTGTTCTCAGCGATGGTTGGGTCCGTATGATAGGCAGAGTGTGATATGGACCATGGTATATGAGATATTATCTTCAAATAAACTTGAATCCTCGATCCTGATTGGTGAATCCATGGCAACAAGCCGTGCTACATATAATGTAGCACGGTCACAGTCCATACTGCACTCCGCATATTGCACTATTCTAAGATGCGCCCGCCATTCCATACGAACATGAACAGCGGCATGTGTGTTTCATCTTGCTGTGCCTCAAGTTTGCTTAAAGATAAATTTGTTATCGCGCTCACGCTCACGCTCACGCTCGTGGAACACAAAAAATGCAGTGCGTCTGTGTCCCACATACCACTCAGCCGAATGTGGGACACAGACACACTGCATTATTCCGTGTTCCACTCGCACTCGCGGGATAACTAAGAATACCACATTGTTGCCATGGATCGACCAATCAGGATCAATGATTGAAGTTTGATTGAAGACAAATTTTCATATTTGCGTTTCTACTTTTGATTTTACATAACACAGCGGACGTTTGTTACAGCCAAATCATCCCGCGTCAACTTATGCCTATCCACACCCTACAGTTGTATGTACAGCATATTAAAGGGACATTACAGCCTGGAATACGCCAAATTGGGCTACAAAACAATATCAAATGGAAAGAGCATTTAAAGTAGATTATAAACATCCTCACAAACATCCTTTAAGAACTGTGTATTTTGTGATTTACTTGCCAGAGCCATGCGAGAACAAATTTCAGAAAGCACAAGATATTATAAAATACAAATTTGAAGGCAAACGAATGCCTACTTTCTACAAACTCATTGTATCGATGGCTTACAGGAGCTTCAGTGGGATTCCTTTTTCTTTCTTTTTTTGGTGAAATCTACCAGCAGAATGTTGCTCAAAAGATTTGGCAGGCCTTTTCTTTAGGGACCTTGCATCACAACTAATAACAGGTTAGGGTTTTTTATTCTAGACAAGCTCGCAACAACAAATTCCTCATCACTTGCAACAACACCGTGATGCCAGGCACGGCACAGTTACTACAACATAGCACCTGCCTCAGATTGTCTGCCCACCAGAACAACCCGACGACAGCAGCGCCTGTAACTGGTATCCAGCAAGCTGGTGTCCTATCCCCCCATAGATTGTCAGTTGTTACTCAACCCACCGGTTTGTGTCGTGACTGTGACGTCGCCTGCCGTTCAGCCATTGGTCGGTGGCAATCAATTGACTGAGTTTGATATGAGCCGCAGGATGTATGACCAAGTAAGCATTTGGTTAATAACCCAAAGCTGTACCACCCTAAATCGCCTTGCCTGTTACTCCCTGTACTACCCCAAACTGCCCTGCCTGTTACTCCCTGTACTACCCCAAACTGCCCTGCCTGTTACTCTCTGTACTGCTCGAAATTGCCCTGCCTTTTAAGCCCGGTTCATACTTCATGCGAAAGCGATTGCAAATCTTTGACGTCATGGCAATTTTTCGTGCTGCGAATTCAACGGGGGCAAATTTCGCAGCGAATGTTTCATGATGTCAAATTTGCTTTGCATTCGCATTCGCATGAAGTATGAACCTGGCTTTACTCCCTGTACTGCCCCTAACTACCCTGCCTGTTACTCCCTGTACTGCCCCAAACTACCCTGCCTGTTACTCCCTGTACTGCCCCAAACCACCCTGCCTGTTACTCTCTGTACTGTCCCAAACCACCCTGCGCGTTACTCCCTGTACTGCCCCAAACCAGCCTGCCCGTTAATTGCTGTACTGCCCCAAACCACCCTGCCTGTTACTCCCTGTACTGCCCCAAACCACTCTGCCTGTTACTCCCTGTACTGCCCCAAACCAGCCTGCCTGTTAATTGCTGTACTATCCCAAACCACCCTGCTTGTTACTCCCTGTACTGCCCCAAACCACTCTGCCCGTTACTCCCTGTACGGCCTTGAACCAGCCTGCCTGTTAATTGCTGTACTGCCCCAAACCACCCTGCCTGTTAATCCCTGTACCGTTACCACCGCGGACCAACCTGCCTGTTACTCCCTTAAACAGCCCTGCCTGTTACTTCCTTGAAACAGCCCTGCCTGTTACTCCCTTGAAACAGCCCTGCCTGTTACTCCCTTGAAACAGCCCTGCCTGTTACTTCCTTGAAACAGCCCTGCCTTTTCTTCCCAAACTGCCCTGCGCACCTCAAAATTTTTCTTAAGCCAATTGAAAAAACCTGTTTCATTTAACTTTTATAAATTTGTTTTTTATTTCTGTCTAGGTTCCACCATCCCTCCTTCAGTCTTCACTGACTGCAGGTGTCGTCAATTTTTCAGGAGCTATGAAGTCTCCTACGGACATCCAGAAACGCATCTTGCTTCAGCATCTACGCCTGCAGCTGGAGTTGCTACAGGCTCAGCAACTACAACAAGCGTGCCTCCGGCTTAATGTAAGACGAGGCAGAAACACAGAAAGGGGAGGGCAGGGCATGGATCTAGAGGAGCGGTGATTAACGTGAAGAAGCTATGTCACATGCAGGATGCTGAGAAAAGTAAAAAGCACAAGAACAACTCAACCGCCAGTCGACACAAACCCAGCCCAACATTCAAAGTCGACGGGGCTATGAATCATGTGCTGCAATATCCAACCTGGCGATTGTAAACAACAACAACAGTAATAACAAATGTGACGGTGACTCTCAAGATTGTTTGACCCAGCCCCATGCACTAAACTCGTTACGGAAACGAAAATCTTCCAAACGACCACGAAAAAGCAGCAGTGGAATTGATGCGTTCCGTGGAATAACAGTCAGTGATTCCGAGCCAGTAGTGGACAACATCGGCCATTGCTTTTGAAGTCGGCAAAGAGTCTGTACCCCTTGACTTGTCCTGCACTCTTATGCCCACCTACAACACGGGGAACATGATTACCACCAATGCCGCTTTCGAACCGACGACTGGGTTGTGGCAACGGAAACCAGGCTATGAACATGTCAACATGATAAACCAATCCCAACGTCAAGGATTTGAATTTAGTCAGATCCCAGAGGTAAGGTCCCCAGAGTCCACCTATCTGTTGTACAGTTGCTGTGACGATGAGGCATGGTACCAGTCCTCACAGTCTGATGAGGTGGATATGCTGCCCAATCAGAGCTCAGCATCTCCTGCTGCTGGCCAATCAAATGCCAGCATGAGCTCGCCAATGCAACCGTCATTCTTTGCAAGGCTTGTGCACAGCGACCAACAGAAGTCCCTATTTTAAAATAATATTCACTTTGCAACCCAACTTGCAGTAAATGAGTACCTGTAGTTATAGAAATAAGTGCAAGAGTTCTATTTTTCAAACATAATTTCATTGTTCTAAATTGCCAGATAGTTTTGTTTATTTTGCCCAAGGTAAGCTTCAAAATGACAGTGTATTCCTGAAATCCCTGTACGTTATGTACATTGTATGTACACAACAGCTGATGTTAATTTACATGTATGTGAATGTTTTACCTTTTATATTCAAACGAAAAGAATCAGATTTGATCTTAGATTGAACACGAGTGTATACTGTTTTACATCTGTGTATGTTGTGTAAAACGTTTCAATACACGTGTATCAGAATATATGTATCATCTGGAATAATTGCCCAGAGTACTGAGGCAAACGAATATGAACACTGTTGTGATTCCTGTATTTATCAGGTGTACATACTTGCCGTTTAGAGAAAAGTCAGCGTTTTTATTATTTTTTTTTAACATTTAAATATTACTGTAGGCCTAAAGCTGGCTCCTTGATTTTTTTTCGATTTTGGCAAAAACAAAAACGAAATTGCTTAAAACTTGCAGGGAAGAAGATGCTTAGAGAACCTTTAAATACATTCTTATTGTGCTTCCCATGTGCTTCTCAACCGAACATTGCATCGAAAATTTGGGGGAGAGCGGTTCAAAATGACTTTTTTTTCTCAATAGATCAGTCAATTTGTCCAAATCTTCAAATTTGTTGAGTATATTTCACCCTTAACACGCTACATTGTTTTGGTTAAATTATTTTATTGTTTGACGACCAATGACTCTATTACTTTATCACACTATTCCTTTATTACATGTACATTAAATGTTACATACGATATCGTCTCCACAACGAGTTTGCTGGTTTTGTTCAATGTAAGTTGACTCTATTTTGCCATGCAATTTATTTATCGTGTTTAACACGCTACATTGTTTCGATTATAACAATTGTATTGATAAATGATTCCTCTTCAAATTCAACAGATTTGCGTTTTCTTTCTAGTTCAATTAATTTTCGAAATTTCAATTCAGTGCAGCGGATACTTCTTGAGTTAGTCTGGAAACTGAGCGTGTTGTTTTTGTGTCATGAAAGTTTACTCAAAATACCATATATTTTTTTCGCTTAACACGCTACATTGTTTCGGTTATAATAGTTGTATATTGATAAACGATTCCTCTCCAAATTCATCAAATTTGTATTATCTGTCTAGTTGAAATAATAGTCAAAATTTAAATTCAGTGCAGCAGATACTTCTTGAGTTATATTCTGGAAACGAGTGTGTTGTTTTCGTGTCGTGAAAGTCGACACTAAATTGCCATTTTTTTCGCTGAACATGCTACATTGTTTCGGTTATAATAATTGTATTGATTATTAATTGATTCCCCTCCCAATTCAACAGATTTGCGTTATCTATCCAGTTTAATCAATGTATGAAATTTCAATTCAATGTAAGAGATGTTTCTAGAGTTATTTTTTGGAAACCGAGTATGTTGCTCGTGTCATGAAAGTTGAGTAAACTTCACCTTGTATTTTTCAAGCTTAACACGCTAACATGTTCGGGTTAAAATTATTTTTTATTGTTTGACGATCCTTCTCCAATTTCAAACAGTTTGTGTAACCTATGACGACAAAACACTCAATAAAATTTGACTTCAATACATAACAAATTTCTTGAGATATCGTCTCCACAACGAGTGTGTCATTTTTGTTCCATGAAAGTTGACTTGAATTCGGCTTGTATTGATATCTATCTAGTTTAAATAATATACAAAATTTCAATTCAATAAATTCCCTGAAAGTTGCTAGAAAGATGTCTTAAAGGCCCTAGAACGCATTCCAAATCGATTGATGGGCAGACGTGCTATTAAAGGGGAAATTCTATAGAAACATTAAGGTAAAATCGCTCAAAGAAATTACTATTTTTTCAAAAAATTGACGATTTTTGCCCAAATCTTCCAAATTATGTGGGTTAGAGTATTGATTGATGTTCCTCTTGCATCTGAATGAATATCTGCCTTGTTTTGAGAAAAGTCAATTTGTGGACGATTTCGACTAAAAATGTATCAACAGTCGCCCCTAGAGGTAGGTACCGCTAGAGGCGACCATCAATGGTCGCCCCTAGAAGTAGGTACCGCTGGAGGCGACCATCAATAGTCGCCCCTAGAGGTACGTACCGCTGGAGGCGACCATCAATAGTCGCCCCTAGAGGTACGTACCGCTGGAGGCGACCATCAATAGTCGCCCCTAGAGGTACGTACCGCTAGAGGCGACCGTCAATAGTCGCCCCTAGAAGTAGGCACCGCTAGAGGCGACCATCAATAGTCGCCCCTAGAGGTACGTACCGCTAGAGGCGACCGTCAATAGTCGCCCCTAGAGGTAGGTACCGCTAGAGGCGACCATCAATGGTCGCCCCTAGAAGTAGGTACCGCTAGAGGCGACCATCAATAGTCGCCCCTAGAGGTACGTACCGCTGGAGGCGACCATCAATAGTCGCCCCTAGAGGTACGTACCGCTGGAGGCGACCATCAATAGTCGCCCCTAGAGGTACGTACCGCTAGAGGCGACCGTCAATAGTCGCCCCTAGAAGTAGGCACCGCTAGAGGCGACCATCAATAGTCACCCCTAGAGGTACGTACCGCTGGAGGCGACCATCAATAGTCGCCCCTAGAGGTACGTACCGCTAGAGGCGACCGTCAATAGTCGCCCCTAGAAGTAGGCACCGCTAGAGGTGACCATCAATAGTCGCCCCTAGAGGTACGTACCGCTAGAGGCGACCGTCAATAGTCGCCCCTAGAAGTAGGCACCGCTAGAGGCGACCATCAATAGTCGCCCCTAGAGGTACGTACCGCTGGAGGCGACCATCAATAGTCGCCCCTAGAGGTACGTACCGCTGGAGGCGACCATCAATAGTCGCCCCTAGAGGTACGTACCGCTAGAGGCGACCGTCAATAGTCGCCCCTAGAAGTAGGCACCGCTAGAGGCGACCATCAATAGTCGCCCCTAGAGGTACGTACCGCTAGAGGCGACCGTCAATAGTCGCCCCTAGAAGTAGGCACCGCTAGAGGCAACCATTAATAGTCGCCCTAGAGGTACGTAAAAGATGAAATTCTAAAATTAAGATAAAATGAGATAAAATGAAAAATTACGATAAAATCCAGATGAATTTCTGCCTTATTTTGAGAAAAATCAATTTTTGGCCGATTTTGACTAAAATTGTAAGGCTAATATTTTCTCCAAATTTTCTGTCTAGTTTGTCTTCTTTTCGTGACCAATCATCTGGCCACAATTCAATTCAATGCTCCAATTAATTTTTGAGATAGCATGTCGTCGCGGACTATCGTTCCTGTGCAAAAGTGAGGCAAATGTTCTGTTTGGACTGTCACTGCAGCCCATCGCCAAGTTTTGCTACATGTCGCGACACAAGACACTGTTTAGGGAGAGAAAAACAATATTTCCTTTCAATTTTCTGTCTAGTTTGTCTTCTTTTCATGACCAATCATCTGGCCAAAATTCAATTCAATGCTCAAATTAATTTTGGAGATAGCATGTCCTCGCGGACTATCGTTCCTGTGCAAAAGAGGCAAATGTTCTGTTTGGACTGACACTGCAGCCCATCGCCAAGTTTTGCTACATGTCGCGACACAAGACACTGTTTAGGAAGAGAAAAACAATATTCCCTTTCAATTTTCTGTCTAGTTTGTCTTCTTTTCATGACCAATCATCTGGCCAAAATTCAATTCAATGCTCAAATTAATTTTGGAGATAGCATGTCCTCGCGGACTATCGTTCCTGTGCAAAAGAGGCAAATGTTCTGTTTGGACTGACACTGCAGCCCATCGCCAAGTTATTCTCCGTGTCGCGAAACAAGACACTGTTTAGGGAGAGAAAAACAATATTTCGTTGAAATCTTCTGTCTATTTTGTCTTCGTTTCGTAACGAATCATCTGGCCAAAATTCAATTCAATGCTCCAATCAATTTTTGAGATAGCATGTCCTCGTGGACTATCGTTCCTGTGCAAAAGAGGCAAATGTTCTGTTTGGACTGACACTGCAGCCCATCGCCAAGTTTTGCTACATGTCGCGACACAAGACACTGTTTAGGAAGAGAAAAACAATATTCCCTTTCAATTTTCTGTCTAGTTTGTCTTCTTTTCATGACCAATCATCTGGCCAAAATTCAATTCAATGCTCAAATTAATTTTGGAGATAGCATGTCCTCGCGGACTATCGTTCCTGTGCAAAAGAGGCAAATGTTCTGTTTGGACTGCCACTGCAGCCCATCGCCAAGTTATTCTCCGTGTCGCGACACAAGACACTGTTTAGGGAGAGAAAAACAATATTTCGTTTAAATCTTCTGTCTAGTTTGTCTTCTTTTCATGACCAATCATCTGGCCAAAATTCAATTCAATGCTAAAATTAATTTTGGTGATAGCGTGTAGACGTGGACTATCGTTCCTGTGCAAAAGTGAGGCAAAAGTTCTGTTTGGACTGACACTGCAGCCCATCGCCAAGTTGTTCTCCGTGTCGCGAAACAAGACACTGTTTAGGGAGAGAAAAACAATATTTCGTTGAAATCTTCTGTCTATTTTGTCTTCGTTTCGTAACGAATCATCTGGCCAAAATTCAATTCAATGCTCCAATCAATTTTTGAGATAGCATGTCCTCGCGGACTATCGTTCCTGTGCAAAAGAGGCAAATGTTCTGTTTGGACTGACACTGCAGCCCATCGCCAAGTTATTCTCCGTGTCGCGACACAAGACACTGTTTAGGGAGAGAAAAACAATATTTCGTTTAAATCTTCTGTCTAGTTTGTCGTCTTTTCATGACCAATCATCTGGCCAAAATTCAATTCAATGCTATAATTAATTTTGGAGATAGCGTGTAGACGTGGACTATCGTTCCTGTGCAAAAGTGAGGCAAAAGTTCTGTTTGGACTGCCACTGCAGCCCATCGCCAAGTTGTTCTCCGTGTCACGAAACAAGACACTGTTTAGGGAGAGAAAAACAATATTTCGTTTAAATCTTCTGTCTAGTTTGTCTTCTTTTCATGACCAATCATCTGGCCAAAATTCAATTCAATGCTCCAATTAATTTTGGAGATAGCGTGTAGACGTGGACTATCGTTCCTGTGCAAAAGTGAGGCAAAAGTTCTGTTTGGACTGACACTGCAGCCCATCGCCAAGTTGTTCTCCGTGTCGCGAAACAAGACACTGTTTAGGGAGAGAAAAACAATATTTCGTTGAAATCTTCTGTCTATTTTGTCTTCGTTTCCTAACGAATCATCTGGCCAAAATTCAATTCAATGCTCCAATCAATTTTTGAGATAGCATGTCCTCGCGGACTATCGTTCCTGTGCAAAAGAGGCAAATGTTCTGTTTGGACTGACACTGCAGCCCATCGCCAAGTTTTGCTACATGTCGCGACACAAGACACTGTTTAGGAAGAGAAAAACAATATTCCCTTTCAATTTTCTGTCTAGTTTGTCTTCTTTTCATGACCAATCATCTGGCCAAAATTCAATTCAATGCTCAAATTAATTTTGGAGATAGCATGTCCTCGCGGACTATCGTTCCTGTGCAAAAGAGGCAAATGTTCTGTTTGGACTGACACTGCAGCCCATCGCCAAGTTATTCTCCGTGTCGCGACACAAGACACTGTTTAGGGAGAGAAAAACAATATTTCGTTTAAATCTTCTGTCTAGTTTGTCTTCTTTTCATGACCAATCATCTGGCCAAAATTCAATTCAATGCTAAAGTTAATTTTGGAGATAGCGTGTAGACGTGGACTATCGTTCCTGTGCAAAAGTGAGGCAAAAGTTCTGTTTGGACTGACACTGCAGCCCATCGCCAAGTTGTTCTCCGTGTCGCGAAACAAGACACTGTTTAGGGAGATAAAAACAATATTTCGTTTAAATCTTCTGTCTAGTTTGTCTTCTTTTCATGACCAATCATCTGGCCAAAATTCAATTCAATGCTCCAATTAATTTTGGAGATAGCGTGTAGACGTGGACTATCGTTCCTGTGCAAAAGTGAGGCAAAAGTTCTGTTTGGACTGACACTGCAGCCCATCGCCAAGTTGTTCTCCGTGTCGCGAAACAAGACACTGTTTAGGGAGAGAAAAACAATATTTCGTTTAAATCTTCTGTCTATTTTGTCTTCGTTTCGTAACGAATCATCTGGCCAAAATTCAATTCAATGCTCAAATCAATTTTTGAGATAGCATGTCCTCGCGGACTATCGTTCCTGTGCAAAAGAGGCAAATGTTCTGTTTGGACTGACACTGCAGCCCATCGCCAAGTTATTCTCCGTGTCGCGACACAAGACACTGTTTAGAGAGATAAAAACAATATTTCGTTTAAATCTTCTGTCTAGTTTGTCGTCTTTTCATGACCAATCATCTGGCCAAAATTCAATTCAATGCTCAAATTAATTTTGGAGATAGAATGTCCTCGCAGACTATCGTTCCTGTGCAAAAGTGAGGCAAATGTTCTGTTTGGACTGCCACTGCAGCCCATCGCCAAGTTGTTCTCCGTGTCGCGAAACAAGACACTGTTTAGGGAGAGAAAGACAATATATCCTTTAAATTTTCTATTTAGTTTGTCTTCTTTTCATGACCAATCATCTGGCCAAAATTCAATTCAATGCTCAAATTAATTTTTGAGATAGCATGTCCTCGCGG